ATATCCAAGAAAAATGAAGATATGTCCACACAAAAACTTATACATGATTGTTCATAGCACTAGTATTCATAACAGCCAAAAGGTGGAAACAACCCAAATGTCCATCAATTGATAAGTGGATAAACAAAATGGTATATCCATGCAATGGAATTAAGCCATAAAAAGGAATTAATACATACCATAACATGGATAAACCCTGAAAACATTATCCTAGGGAGAGAAGCCAATCACAAAGGAATATCATATGTTGTATGATTCCATTTATATGAAATGTCCAGAACAGGCAAATCAATAGAGACAGAAAGATTACTGGTTGCTTAGGGGTAGGGAGAACATGGTGGGTAGGTAAGTGATAGCTAAAGGGTATAGTTTCTTGTTAAGTTGATAAATATGTTCCAAAATTGACAGTGGTGATGACTGCACATACCTATGAATATACAAAAAATCGCCGACTTGTACACTTTAAATGGGTAAATTGTATGGGATGGGAATTATATCTCAATACAGCTGTTATTTTATAAAATGATGAGATTATCAGCCTTGCCCTGACTCACTTCTTCACATGTAGGAACTTTGTTTGCAGATGCCTGGAGAGCCTCCCACAGTGCAGAATCGTGACTCCATGCTAAACTCTCCAAAATCTGTTCTTCAATGCTGTTCAAGTGTTTCACCATGTCCCTGGAAAGTCCCTCCTCGGAGCGGATCACCACTTCAATAACCTGGAGAAAAGAAAATTGAGAAGGTAAGGTAGTCTCAAGCATCAGTTCTAGATTGGGCTTGCATGTATGACTAGCTCTGGTCTTATTAATGACACAGAACCAAGGATATGTTTGCACAATTCCATGGCTTATTAATATATTTTAAATTATAAAGGAGTTTTTAAGATCTTCAGAATACTCTCACATACATTTGTTTTTCAAGTTTTCTTTTATATCTGGAAAACTGAGGGAATGATAGTGACAACTGATGAACAGCCCAATTGTGGTAGAAGTCAGGTATTGGGTTCCCAGCCCACTGCTATTTTGAATTTACTGCCCTTTTTCAGACTATTTTTCCAGTAGCTCAAAAGAAAAGAATGAACAACATATTTAAAAGGAACTTTTTAATATACACTATAATTCTATTTTTTT